CACCTGAGCAGTGAAATATTTATCATTTGTCAGACTCCACTGCAACGCGGCACACCTCCAATCAACGGGACCAACCCTGTAAAGTTGCTCCAGGCATGAACCCAAAGTTCCATGATGTTAATGATCTGTCAAGGTCATGTTCTACTTTGAGCTGTTTCCACACTTCTCACAGGGCTGAACATTCATACTCCATCACAGGAGGTCACAGCCACACCACTCCCCTCTGTATTGCTCTGGGTTGCACCTTCCTATCCCCGCCTGGATGAAAACTTGAGCTCCTCTCATATGCACACTCGTGTGTGTCCACACACAGACACATAACCTAATAATAGTCTAACCTTTATGAACGCTCTGTTTCTGGTGTCTTGGGATATTTCATCATGCTGAAGTAGGGTGAAAGATCTCGTTCTCTCCTTTCCAACTTTTCTCCCTCTTTTGCTTCAGCTTCCTCTTTCCCCTGTTTCCCCATCCTCATCCCTCCACTTCCTCAGAACTGGCCTTTATGTATGAACTTTGCTTGACCCTCTCCTGCTAATCTGCCATGCTCCAGGGAAGCTGGCGTCAAAATGCAGAGCTTTAATAGAGTCTGGGAGCCAAGGGCTGAAGTAACTCTGAGAGTAAAGGGAATATGAGATGGCTGCTCAGAGCATGGCTAATGCCAGGCTCTGTGAAACGCTTGAAAAGGGCTCTGCCATCTTTCATCAACCTTTCTCAAGGTGAATAAGAGCTCGCAGTTTCTTTCACAAGAGCACAATTAAAATCAGTTTCTCCTATGGCTGTCTTGATGATCAATTTTTACTCAGTTATGGTCTGTTTCTGGGGCTGGTTTTCACTTCGCTTCGTTTTTCTTTTGCAGTGGGCTCTTTGCTTAAAGCTTTGACTTGAAGAGTTTGAAAACAGCTTTGTTAGATGCAAAAATTTACTGACACTTTAAAGATGGTTGGCAATATGTCCATCCTCGTGAGGTTTCTCGGTCGCACCTATGCCAGTAAAGTCTGTTTTAAACAGAGCCAGCAGACTGGAAGCAACTCAGTTCACACCATGTTTTCATTTTCACGCGTTTAAATCAATTTAAACACTTTCACACTTTCTTGCTAGCTGTCGCCTTTTCCAGGGTTTGCACTGGCTGTTTTGAATAATCAGCAGGGTTCTAATCAAACTTCCTCAACTTTTCCTCAGAGAGTAAACAGACATGGGAGGTTGCCAGGTTTCCATTTTTCTTTTTTGGTTGGTTGGTCTAGAAGACCTCAGAGCGTTATTTAATCTCCGACTATAAAACACTTCATTTTTTAATGATGATAATGTGATCTTACATTTGGAATGAGCCATAGTCTTTTCTCAAACATCTTTTTGCATGTTACCTTGGATATCTCCATGACTGTATTCATCAGAGAAATGAATTAAATAATATTAAATACTTTTAAAGCACTAATAGCCTTCACAAGGTCAGTTTTTTTTTAAACTGAGTATTGTAAGGAAGCAAAAAGTCATTCAGTCAATAGATGAGAAGCAAATTAAAGCAGTGTCCTCTTCATACACTGTTAAGAAATATTACTTTTTCACTCCATAAAAAAGTTTGTTTGATTCAGCCGAGCTTCACCTTTTCACCTGGTGAATATTTCCGTATAGAAAAGAAATGTCTCTTTGAAAGGTCTATCCATGTTTCAAAAAAAACCTTCGCTGAACCATTTCTTCCTTTTCATCCCCTGAAGACAGATGCTAAGCTTTTCATATCTTCTTCCATTTTCACCCAGTGCTACCTTCCATTTAAGCACATTGTTGTGTTTGTTTTGCACTGCTTGAGCATAACCTCTCACATCATATTGTTATTATCCTTGAACTCAAAGTCTCTCCTCAATGGGTCGAGTATAAAAAATCCATTTGTAGCATGTTTTTGGTGACAATGTCTATGTATGTTGCAATCTTTTAGCTTTTCACTGCATGTTTTTTGTCCATTGCTGCTTCAGTGTCATTAACTGCTACGCTTTTACTGTGCTGACTGAAAAAAAATACAAGTTAAAAGAGAGTGAATACAGGTATACAAGACCATTTCAAAAACTTAATTTCAAGGAGGGAGCAGAGGCAAATAAAAAGCTCTTAACACATACACATACACATACACACAAACCTTCAATTATACAGTGGTAATAATTATGATACTAATAAATTTATTTATAGCACTTTTCAAAACAGAATAGAAATAGGGCTGTAGCTACAGCAAGAGGTCACCATTGATTTAGAGAGTACATTTTTATTTTCATTTTGCATCAGTAACTCTATTGCAATCAAACTCTCAATGAATGATGTGATATCCATGTAACAGCATTTGTTGCGCAAAGTGCGCTAAAATTAGCACATTGTCCGCAACCCATGAACAAGGACATGAGCATTATTTACTCTTGACTCAACAGGATTTGAGAGGTATTGACAGGTGTTGAGAGTTAGTAGCACCGTGTTTTATTGCAGCTGAAGTCTGATTTATGCTGCGTTGGGCATATCAGTTTATTGATTGTTTGGTCGTGAATGACTCAGCTCTAACAGCCAGCTCTTGTGTGCAACAATAAACTACTATAGAGAGCATGGCTTATGCTGCTAACAATTCAGATAGAGCTAGCAATGCTGATGAAGCCCACTCTTGTAGACACTGGGAGAGTAAATCTGGGAAGATTCCAACAGGTCAGATATGTATGGTTTTGAGATGTGTATCTTTCTTTAAATGCAAAGTAACATACTTTATGTTTCCTAAGGTATATCAAAACCATTTAACCCACATCGTCTTTTATGAAACTGGTATTCTCAGTATGTCAGGGGGTCTTTATTGAAGTAATTAGCGGGCAAATTTTAGCTGTATGCATGTTGGGGTTGGAGAGTTAATTTTTTTCCTGGGTAGCTTACTATTGAGAGAGTCAGAAAATCCAATTGGATATTATGGACTTAGGCTACTTATGATTTTCTTAAGGAGGTTTTGGCTCAAGGCTCAGACATTTGCTCATACAATACAAAGATGAAATGTTGTTTATAGAAGTTTATGAGAGTTAAAAGCCAAATGCTGTGCTCTGAGTTTCTAATTTAGAGTTTGTACTTGATATTGTCATTATTATTATTATTTTATTTTATTTTTTTTGCGTGAATAAATATGAATTTCAGCAATTTCATGGCATGCAAGAGAAAAGGATTCAGAGAGAGAATTATAAATATGTTCACAGACTGGATGTGACTCTGCAGGGTCATTAATCATCAATTTACATGCATTTTTCAAGGGTTAGCCACAACATGATAGCAGCACTCTACACAACGAAGTCTAAATGTTAGTATAATGCTGTACACTCCTTTAAACATTCATGCAGATACAATCTGGGAAGCTTTGGAAAGTCTAATTTGCAGCTGAAAAGCTTTTAATTGCATGTATCAACAAGGTGCTTGTGTGTCCCTGTGTACGTGTGTGTGCACATGTGTGTAATGTCCTGGTGCATTGCCAGTGACTCAGTCATTAGCATACTGCCTACGCATGCACTTGCACACATCAACACCCAATATCAAGCATCGAAATACAGGTACACACACAAAAAAGCGTACATTTACCACCAGGCAACACCCATAACACACGCCCCTTATGGCTATCCACTGCACAGAGATTGCACTACCATTTGCACACATCACAAACACACACACGCACACACACACACACACACAAAACATCCCATTCAATTTCACACATGTCAGTGGAGACTCCCAACCAGGCAGTCATATTAAACCAACTCATTATTTATGCAAGGGGAGAGATTGCCAGTCCCCGATTCACCTCATAAAATGTTAATATATTCATCGGGAAATTGTCGTCTTTTAATCTGCCCCACCAGAAAAAACACTTATCTGCCACTACAGCACCATGTTTTACAGTAGCTCACTCTCCTTGGACTCTTTCTCCATCTATCTCTCTCTGTTTTCCCCTCTGCTCATTTTTCCTCATTCTCTATCTCCCTTTTTCCTCCCCTGGTTGTTGGAGATCATGTATGACGTTTGGGGTGCTGATTCCTATTGTTTTTGTTTGTTTTATTCAGTCAGCTAAATTCTAAATGCGGTGTAATATGGGCTAAACAATATTTAGGAAGTCAGTCCTCCAGACTATGTTTAGCAGATAAGGTTCATTTATAAGAAGAATGTCATCAGAGTTGTAAGAAAGGAGAAGGAGAAAAAACTGCCACATTTTAATGTGCTTCAATTTGAAGATACTGGTTCTGTCCCGGCAAAATAAAACACTCATTTCTAAATGAGAAGAATGTTTTAGTATGCAGGGGTTTCTAACATTCATGAATGATGTTAGTCACTATCACTGATTTGAGTATAAGTGAGTGCACACCAGAAAAACAAATATGTTCACTGTCCCATAAATTTTATCAATTATAAAGTTTAAAAATAATCTCATAATATTGTTTCATGTAAGTATTCATCTGTCTGAAGTTAGTTCATATTTTTGACAGTTTTAGTTTAAAAAGATTTCTTCACAAAATCCACATATTAGTGTTTAATCATACTTTTCTTCCTTCTTTCTCCTTCCACGTTTTATTTTTAAGGGCTAGCAGACAAAAATATCTCCACTCCTCCAGTTTTTATTAAAAAAGGGAAAAAAAAATTCTATCACCTAAAATGAGGCAGTCCTAGCTAGCTGAAAATTACCCTGGTTGCTATGCAACGGCAGCATCTTTGCAAAGCCCTGTCATTTCCCAAGCCAAACTAATATCCCATAACAACCTCAAATAAGCCCTCCACTGGTGTGTGTGTGTGTGTCTGAAAGAGAAAGGGGGTGGGAGGATGTCTGTCTGTCTGTCTGTCTACTGGAATATTGTGCTTGTAAGTATAGTTATGCTCAGGTACTTGTTTGTGTATGTTTCTGCACAGGCCACTGCTGGCTGCTCATGAGCAGCTAAAATATAACCCTGATGAGTCTATAGATACACTATGAAAAATTACTATTTTATCTTAAAAGCATAAGATACATTCAGTGGAAAAGTTATTTTGAGTGTAATTGAAGTTTATTATACGTTCTCTCGGATTGTAACATTCGCATGTGTCTCAGCACCAACAAATCACCCACAGATAGCTTAATGACACACAATTTACACTTCCCCGGGTCCAAATTCTCACTAAGTACACCCAGTTATTATATTACACCATCTGTATTCTTTGATGCTTGTTTTTTCTAATTCTTTTCAAGCTCCCTGTCACTGAGCAACAAGACTTTCTGACACCCATGTGGGCGGGTCATTAGTATCTGCAGCTGTGGAGCCTCTCTAAGTTTTATCACCAAGTGTTGAGTGCAGTGACAAGTCATTTCATGTGTGCCCTTTGCAGGATGATAGGGGGTGATTGTGCCTTGCACTCCCCAAAATGATGTTGGGAAATAAACTAAGAGATGAAGTTCAGTTAAAATTTCTCTTAGATCCCAAAATAACAGAGGGGAGTGAAAAAATGTGCTTACTTTCTTAAAATCCACATGAGTATTTATGACATAGGAAGACATTCACAATATGTTTGCGATGAGTGTAACTCATGGTATGGTATATGGTATAACTCCAATAACTGTGACATTTTAACCTTTTCTATGCCATAACATCACACAAACACATATTGAAACATACGCAAATCTTGTGCACTGAGGGGAGGAGAGAGATGTTACGCGAATGCTGCCTTTTTTTAATCATTTTTCATCACAATGTTAGATTTTTGAATACAAGAATAGAGCTTCTGTCCTATTTCCTGTTTAAGTCAGCCACTCATGTCCTATTCTTCATACTGTGAAAATGTGCTGTGTGTGAAAGCCTTACACTACAAAGCTTGACTGTGTTCTGAAAAGCATTAAGTGATCACAACTGTATTCCTGCATGAAAATCTATTATTCCACATACTTTTCCTTCCTGGACCAAATGTATGGATTTTTATGTGTGAAATCACATTTAAACACATGGCCATGATGGAGAAGCATACAGACCTGTTCCATCCTTTTCTGCACAGATAAATAAAGCCAAGGAGTGGGTCAGAGTCATGATAGGGCTTACAAGAAATCTTTATTGCTTCATGCAGCATGTGTTGAGTGAGTTCATGCAAAATCTGCCCTCTGCTTTCTGAACAATAATTGTATTTGCTGTGCCCCCCCAAAAGGGATGAATACCTCTGGTGTACTTCTGTACAACAAAATGTCTGAACCTTACAGAAGATTTTGAAATAAAAACTATACTTTCCCAATATTGTGCTGTACCTATGAAGAAATAATGCAAGTAAATTGACTTTGTACTGGAGGATAAACTTTCAATAGACCACTTTTACAATGCTTCTAAGGGCAGAGTTCAATATCGAACAGAAAAGAGAGATAAGGCAGAGCCGACCAAAGCCAATATTACAATACTTATGTGAAGCTTCTGACCTTGATCCGTCCATTTCTATATTTTATGTAAGAAGAAGCCTCTAAGGATGACAAAACTATGTTTTCATGACATTATGTGTGCTACAGGAGTATTGTGAAGAATTTTGTACAGATGAGGAGTTAAGATTGGCTTCACTAAAATCATTCTCAAAAAACCTGTTAACCACGGCACATGTGCTTCAAGTGTGATCATGCAACTTCAATCACATATTAAGTAAATGTATTTCATCTTAGCATTAGCAGCTCCGGACCTGGAATTGATAGCCCAGAAGAAACCAGCCTAATTTGTCCTCTGTGAGAACCTCCGCCGATAATGTTGACAAATTTGGTATCAGAAGTTCTGTCACTCCTTGATTTGATTTTGTTGATTGCCAAGCGTGGAAGTTTTCCATAAATTAATTTCATTCTAAGAGTAGCAACACAAAACTGTTGATGTTGAGGGCATTCTTGTGTTCAGGACACCAAGGGCTCTATTTTAGTGCCTCGCCGGAGACGTGCCGCAGTCAGGTCCGCTGCGCCGACAAGGCGTTCCCAAGCACAATTTGGTATTTCGGTAAGAGGCACAGCCCGGCGTAAGTATCCCCCCTCCCTAACTCAGCTCCTCCCAGTGGCGTAAATCGTAGCGAGGGAGGAGAGAGGGCGTGGAGTGGGTTTAACACAGCCGAGACCTGTTTTCACCAATCACATAAGCTCCTCTCCCCGCCTTTAAATCCGCCACAGGCGAGGCGTATTACTGTTTTCGTGAAGTAGTCAAAGAGATCGAGAGATGCGTGAAGACAGCAATGCCACACAATGGCGACAGAAGGCAGCTCCTCAACAAGTGTTGCTGTAAGCGCTGCAGAGGACGTCCTCCACACTCTCTCATTAAGCACAGATGGATTTGGTATCATCATCTGTTCTGTTCAGCCGCTGCAGCAGCTGCAGCAGGATGGAGAGAAGATACAGAGACGTGTCCAGGTCGAGCTGCACGAAAAATGAGAGGAAGAGGAAGAAAGAAAAGGAGGGAGACAAATTAAATATCTTGTTAACTTCATCATGTGTATTTATTTACTAGATATTTAATTTAATTTAACGCGGTTTCAGCTGTGTTGATTCGGTCAGGTTGTGTGTCCAAACGCGTGCCAAACGCGCTCATCAGATCAGATATAGATCAGAATATATCGATATAGATCTAAATGTATGTGCTGACTCAGATTATTAGTTGTTGATGATTATTTATTGCACTGAAATGTGCCTGACACTGTGGAAACCTGCCGGTGAGGATGCGGTGACGTATGCTGATACGCCGCCGGTCTACCAAAATACTACAAGACCAGCTGCGCTCCGCCTGCGCTGAAAGCTGACCAGGTTTGAATCGGCGAGCTTTCAGCGCACTTTACACACCACTGGCGAGCACGAAAATGTCACAGCGCCCGCTGATTCTGTCGACACCTCCCCCTGCCACGCCACCACGCCCAGCTTGGCGGATCTCGATTCGCCTCCGTGCGCCTCAGTCCACGAAAATACCAAACTGGCTGTACGCCGGGCTCTGCCAGACTAAAATACAACTGCGCGAGGTCCGCCACCCTCCGCTGCCTCACCGGCGTACACGGAAATAGAGCCGTGCTGAAAACACTGGACTAAAAACAGAGACTGTCAGTGCCAAAAAAGCCACAGTTAGCACAGCCTGTAAATAAGCCAATTCATCACTTTGAACTACCAAAGAGTTACCATAAAAAATGTCATCCAAATAAAACTTAAAGTGTGCATGCTCTCAAGGAAGGCTGCTCACTTTATTTTGCCTGGTTTGTTTCTATTTATGCAGACTCCAATGTCCATTACTTGGCTTACACCTTATATTTAAGTCCCTACAAAACGTCTGAAGTGAGAGAAATCAATATTTTGTGATAACATCATAAATTTTAAAGTATGCAGCTTTTATTCTTTACATTTCTATATAACTGCTTAAAGCTTAAGAATACATAAAAAAGCCCACACTGGAATATGTCAGTCTCTCTAAGCAAAAGCTTTTGATCGAGGTGCTTTCAAAGAAGCAACATCAATCCAACAAGAATGGCCGTACTGTAAGGCAAAGCTCTTTTTCTGACTCTCCAGTTTGATTCAAACCTCTTGTAATTCAAATCAAAATACAGTTTGAAAAAAAAAAAAAAAGAAATGATGGTTGCTTTTACAGCTCACAACTCCAAATTGCACTTGGAGTACAAACTTCAGTGTAAACTTTTTTCAAAGAAACAGCGTTGGCCCTGACAGCATGTAACAGCCTGACCTTCTGTACTTTCCAAATATCAAAAGACTCATTTCAACACCCATTCATTCACTTTCACACATTAATATAACACATTCCCTGGTACAATAGGCCAACATACAAACACACGCAGATGGCAGGCGCTGGGACCACTCCAATGAGTGCTTGTGTCTGCGTGTGCGTGTCTGTGTTTGTGTGACTGTGGCTGTTGGAGGTTGACAGGCAGAGTGTCTGTAATTATTAGTCTTGTCCAATTCTTTTTATGCCTGCCTGTAGGTGGAGGCTTTACATGCAAGGGAGACATTAAAAGGTATATGTGTGGCACTGTGGGACTCTGTGAATGCATTTTTGAGTGTGCTTCAAGAGGGCGGCACATGCAAACATGTGTATTTATGTGTTAAAGTGTAGGAATGTCTTCATGCAGAGGCAAGGACAGATACAGAAACAGGCTTTACTCAGTTACTCAGTATTTCTGGCACGCTGATAAAGCACTTGGAGCCATCAGAGTGAATAATATCCAACAGACCGGGGCGGCCCGCTTAGATTCTCCAGCCAGCCCTCTCTGGTTTGATAAGATTGTGTTAGCCACCACCTCGCACTGCCTCAGACTTCAAACAGTTACATATTGCCCTGGAAATTGTCGCAGGGACCGCGTCAGGCGGATAAATTCATTTCTGATCATACATCTAGCTCAAATTATTTATAGTATCCCCAGCCAGCAGGGCAGGAAGCGAGGATGAAGGAGGGTAGGGAGGGACAGCTGGAGTGAAATAAGAGAGCTGGAGAGATGTAGAGTGAGATGTATGATGGAAGGAGGTGTAGTTTTAACACATGAAAGCTCGCCTCCTCCTCATCTCCTTTCTCTTGTTTCCCTCCTGGTCATTTCACTCGCTCTGCCCCCTCTTTATCTACTCCAATCATAGCTGCTGTACCTATGAGTAAAACGCTGTGATTTCTCAAGAGTTTTCAATTGAGGAGTCAATTTGCCCTGCCAACACATTAGATAAAATGTTGTAGTTCAGATCGAGGTTACATCTGACCAGTGTTGCGAGGTTCTTGTGGCTTTCTTACACTCTGCCGTCCTGCAACAGCACTGGTACAGAGTTCCGCTATCATCACACCTCTGCACTTAAACCCCGAAAAGCTATAATATTGGTTACCCAGCATGTCATTACACATCATTTCTTTTTTTAAGAATAACAAGAGGCACAGCATGTTAACACACTACGGGGGCTCTACATGCACACAGTGCTGTTGCGCGCTGCTGGATTTTAACCAATTATTACACCTCTGGACATTACACATTGCAGTCTAGGTGTAACAGGTGTGCAAATACCCCCCCTTGAAAAGGCAGTGTCTGATATCATTAATTAGCTTTCTAACGAGCATTGCAATCCGCTACCACATTCACTTGTTCGACCATTGTCCTCTCTACCTCTCAGGGTCTAGCCTGCAGAGCGGTGCGCAGGGGCTGGTGCATGGACTTGTGATGTAAAAAAATCCCACTGTGTCTAAACGAAAGACTGTATATAAAGTGGACAGCGTCTGCCTCCTCGATAGGTAAAGCCACCTCGAGAACAGCACCCTCTGTTGATGGGCTGCAGTATAGGTCATAAATCTCTCCTCCGCCAGCAAAGCTTATGGAGCTGATGGACAAACTTTAGAAATTTATTACACAGAACATAAATTTTTCTCCCCCCTGCTTGTGATGTTGACAGGTAGTTATTGTCAGACTGGTTTCTGCTGAAGTCCTGTTTTTTCTTTACAGCTCTGTTTTTAAAAGGGGGTTCATGTTTTCTATCATTAGCTACGTTTACATGGAGCCAA